AGACTATACCACTTAGTAGTAGCCAATTATATCTCCAAGTTTTAGCTAAATCTTGTAGAACAAAATGACTAAAGCTTCATTGACTGAAGCTACTACTACATTTGTTGTATTAATATGTGTATAATATGAGAGATTAGTTCTGGAACAATGTTAACTATCCTATAAGAAAACATTGAATCATATGATAGTTAAACGAGATGATAATCTTTCAAGCAGCCAAACCATAAAAATATATACAAACTTTTCAATAAATAATGAATGAAAAAAATACAATATGCACTAATCATAAAATTCAAATACAAATTATTTTTGCTTTTTCAATGTATTTATATTTTTTATGATTATATATGTTAATTTTATTTTTCACAAAAATAATGAACAATGGAAAGCATGGCTTAAATTTATTATCTTGAAGAAATAATTTTCTCTAATCATTGGGATGTAAATCCTTTTACAATTTTGAATAAATTTTTATTAATTCTAATTTAAAATTCATCAATTTTCCTAACTAATTTAAATAAAAAAGAATCTACTTAAAAATGCAACAACCTTTGAGAAGCCAACTAATTTAAAGACAACAGCACTGTGTTGCATAAAATGCAACAACCTTTGAGAAGCCAACTAATTTGAAGACAGCAGCACACCCATTGATGATATCAATAATTCTTCAACATAGCAAAAATCTTTCAGCTTGACAAGAAAATCATCAGAAAAAAAAAGTCTTTTCAACATCACAATGGAAAAGTGTATGACAGAAAAAAAATCTTACGCACACAATATTTTGATAGCTATTGACATGAAGAGCTTGATATACTGTAACAGGAATAGCAAGATAGAAAGTCTTCAGTGAGACGTATGAAGATTTGTAGTGTTCTTATGAACCTCACCCAAGTTTAAGGCTACATGATCTGATAATTGAGAATCATTCTCCACAATCTGTGGCTTCTTAAGATCTTGTATCTTGTAAGTATTGAACATATCCTTTGTGATGTTTTCTAGTCCATCTAGAAGGTTGTACTTCAGTACATATGACCTTAGTTCTTCACGAATTTGATGCAGAGGCTATTTCAAGAAATGAGAAAATCAAATTAAAAAAGGTGATAAAAAGACTTCGCTTTAGATGCATGTTTGATGTTGTTTTTTATCAGACTACATGTATGATGACTAAAAAGTAATCCAAATATGTTATCAATCATGAAATTTCAGCCCAACTAATTATGAATGTTCTGAAAGAATAAAATCAACACAACCATACCTCAACTCCTGACTCAAGGGCAAGCTAGAAAAAACCTATCGAAACTGAGTGCTTTGAAGCCGACTCAGAAAGTTTAATCTGTGATAACCAATAGGAAGCTGAAGATAACACATTGAACCTTTTCCTGTAGCTATATTTCGATGCATTAGACATAGGTGAGTCAAAATTCAACTGATTGTTCAATCTGTTTCTTTGATTTTCAGAT